AAGCGCTGGTGAGAAGCGCTCTGAAACTGAGGTTGTGAGCGCTGCCAGCACCGTTAGTGGACAGGCTGTAAGTCATGATGTTGATTTTGGCATAGTTGGAGAAATACTTTCTTGTTTAATGTTTCTAAACAACCATCAAAGAAAGACTTGTTAACCGTTCAAACATCCTTCTTCTGTTGTTATTATCTATCAGTTGACTTTAAATTATAAAGTCAACCTTTTGACTAATGACTGCATGTTCATATGTTTGTGTCACTGGTCCTGAAAGCTTGTGTTCAGATAGATATCTCAGTTTTTGTCTCTTGTGAGAGCGTTAGATAAATCAGCTGAAGCTCAGTGTGCAAACAGGTGAGTCTCAGTTCAAACAGGCTTCTTTTAGCCGCAGTGTTCGTGTGAATGTGTTTTTTTTTTTTCCTCTCAAAAAATCCATTTGATGATAAAATATTTAATGCCAGCTTGAAAATCTGCCAGCACTGCAGGAGCTGTTTTGAAGGGATCCGTTTCTCGCCTGCTCTGAAGGTTCATTAATCAGGCAAAAAAGGAAACTTTACAGATCATGCAGAACTTTAGTCACTCACCGCGGCGTCCTTTTCTCTTTATTTTGCAGAGTTGCCTTGAGTTCAGCCTGAGAATCCAGGAGTTCATCGAGCTCATCAGACAGAACAAACGCATGGACGCAGTCAGGTACTGGACATCTCACTTTGCATTTATGATCAACTGTAATGCAGACTCACAGCAGAGAGAGAAAACTGCGACCCAGTGACTCATCATAAACTGAAACATGTGTCCCGCTCCCCACGCAGCATGATCATACGTAGATTATACATTATAATTGGACGATCTGACTTTAATACTGGCACCTGAGAAGAACCTGAACATCTGAGCCAACCAGAAAAACTGTCTCCTCCTCTTATGTTAGAGCCGTTTTCACATGAATTTGGCATCCTGGGTTGATATTGAAAATGGATTGGGTGTCACCAAAATTTATTAAATCAACTCTTTTGTTGCAACAGACTGCTTATAACCTCTAATACAACCAACCAAAATGAAATGTTTTTATGGATTGACAGCACTTATATTTACATATTAAAGGACGTGACATGTATTTCACTTTAAATCTAAACAAACATCTTTTTGTGTCTTTGTTAATGTCAGACACGCGAGGAAGCACTTCAGCCAAGCAGAGGGCGGGCAGTTGGATGAGGTTCGGCAGGTGATGGGCATGCTGGCCTTCCCATCAGACACGCATATCTCCCCTTACAAGGTAAAATCACAAGTGTTCTCAAGTATTAAAGAGCCCATATTCTGCCCTTTTTGGGGTTCATATATTTAATCTATGTTCCTACTTTTGTACGTTCACAATAGATAAAGTTATAAAAAAAAGTGTCTGTTTTCATGAGCTGCTCCTTTTTGCTCCCTCTACGCTCTGAGTCCGTCAGCTACACTCTGTTGAGCCCACACTGTTAGACCCCACGTGGGCCAAGTCTGCTCTGATTGGTCTGCCGATCCGCTCTGTCGTTATTGGTCAGTTGCTCAGCACGCGTCTCGGAAATTTCAACATGAGCTGCTGGGCTTGCCACAACGAGCCAATGGGCTTAGATCAGTGATCTCACACTGACAATGACGTCACACTGACAATTTTTTATGGAGGGGGGGCTAGAACCGAGCGTTACATGCAGCTAACGCTACAGCTAACAGGAGGAGGTAGGAGAAGACACATTTCCGCAGACTTTGAATTTTTGCAAATAGATGTGACTAAACATGAACAGGACACTTAGAAAACACACTAAAGAGCAGATAAAACCAGAAGAAGAAGAATATGGGACCTTTTAATACACATTCAGAGTCATTTGAAACAAACAAACAAGTGAAGTTGTTGTAGAATAATCTGTGTTCATACCATTTAAGAAGTCATTATCTCAAACTTGACTTAACTAGAAAGAAAATAAAGACTTTTATATTAAAGCTGACCGGTCACCCAACATGCATGTAAACTGAATCATGTGACTGTGTGGACTTGATATAAACCATAAACACAATATATACCTGTCTACTGTTCAAAAGGATCATTCACTTTAAAGGTCTGTATCTTTATTTCTTCAAGCAGAGGAAGTGCTGAAGACTGGCCACCAGAGGGCGCCTGTTGTCTTTCTCAGAAATACCTAAATGACCTCTTAAGCTCCTCAGTGAGAGTGCTGAGTGCTGCGAAGGTGTAGAAAAATGTTTGAAACAAAGTGTTGGAAATAATATATCCCTCTGGTGCTCTTCAGTGTGGGGATCCAATTTAGACATTGTTGAAGAGGTCAAAGGCACTCGGAGGGAAAGTGGATGAACTGCCTTTATTTCATCAGGGCAGGTCAAGACCTTTGAGCTCGTTTAAATGTGTCCCTGGGTAGCTGCTTTCCCCTCAGATGACATCATGATCAGTTTTCATTTCACAGGTGGAATCAAACACTCAATTTCCTTTTGTCTGACACTAGTGTTAAAACTAAAAGCCATATTTACATTTACAAAACAGCTTCACTCATGATGATGATTCAAGGATAAAGTGTAATTTAGGAAAAGTATTAAAGCACTCTTTGTAGTGAAAACTCACAGCTGTGTTCAGTTAGCAGAGAGCTGTTAATCAGTGTTTGCTGAAAACAAACCGACACAAAGCTTGTTGAACTGAAAGCTTGAAATCGTTTACTAACCTGTCGCTGGTGATTACTGGGCTACTGTCTGTTTGCTTTGCCGAGAGTAACTGAGACAAGTCGGCTGTTTGATGCAGTTTACATTTGTAAGAGCTGAAATGTGGGTTTATTTTTACCCCTGTGTTTTTCTTTGTGTTTCTTTAATTCCTCTACTCAGCGCTGTAGTCCCTTTTCCACCAAGCGGTCTAGTTTGGTCAGTAAACCCTGATGTTACTTGCGTTTTCACAGCCAACATGTACCCTTACTTGGTATGCAGAGTGTAAGCGGGGTGGCGATACATAATAGTGACATCATAACAGGGCGACACAGTGTAGCCCGCTTATAAATTGAACGAAGAAGAAGAATGTGAAACAAAGGGCAACAATGAAGGACGTCCAGCAGGGGTCTGTGACTCCGAGGTCGTCCATGGAGCGGTGCTACGTGCTGACATTAGTTGCAAAAAACAGCCTTGATTACTCTCTGGAAATCCACTGGATATTTAAGCATGGTGCGTTTTGTGTTCGTTTTTTATTACCGCTGTAGCACGGAAAGTGACCATTCTGTCAACCTGTCAACGCACTGCATCGTGTCTAGCTCCACACTTTAAAGTCGGATCAACACGCTTGTCACCCCAACAGAAGTGCTAAAGTGACTCCGGTGTATCCAGATGTATTTTAGATATAAAAATGCTGTTTGAACCTGATCTGATTTTAAAATGACTGGGTCGTTTGTTGTTTGTCTATAAATGTGCGTTATGTAACTCTCTCTTCTGTATCTTCATCTTTGTTCCCCATCAGGATCTTTTGGATCCAGCCCGCTGGAAGATGCTGATCCAGCAGTTTCGATATGACAACTACAGACTGCACCAGCTGGGAAACAACTCTGTGTTCACTATCACCCTGCAGGCCGGACTGTCTGCCATAAAGACACCGTATCCTTCCATACTTACTTCATACCAACTACAGTAACAGAAAACTTCTGGCCTTTGGAGTTCATCAGGCAGCTTTCCAAAGGATGACAAAGAGCCAGTTATTGTATAGTTCCTGAATCTGTATGTGGTCACTTCTGCTGCATCGTACATCTTGGCTCAACTTGTTCCTGGTATCAGGTTCTGCTCTTGCTCCACTGCAGATTGAATCCCCGATGTTTATTCCCTGTGATCGATGCACGACCATTCACTGTCTGCAAGATATGCACATAATTAACCTGCTGCATTATGTTTTCTCCACTCTTTAGTTCACATTGAGATTCTGTTCAACTACACGCAGCACTGATAGAAAGACAAATATTCTCATTATAGCGTCTGCTGCTTCTTCAGCCACTTCCACGTCCTCCTTTTTACGTCATGTCTCGCCCCGCTGACAGGGATAGTCTCCCTCTGTGAGGTGTATGTGTGAACAATCAGATTAGGAGGATTTCAGGGGGAATCCTCCTTAAATGATCTAGATATTTTCAGTAGTGCATAGCTGTTTTCACATCTGCACTCCGGAAAACACATTCACATACGCGTTAACACATACAGCTCCTCCTGCAAACATCCTGAGTTTTTCAGGAGATTTCTGCTAGTGTGAAAGCCCTACATGAGTGAAAACCGCTTTCACGTCAAGGACTTTTTCCTCACAACAACCAGCAGTAAGATGTCTTTTCATTTCACCTTTTAGTAACAGCTCTGCTTGTATGCAACTTGAAAACAATGAAGAAGAGTTTTACCATTCAGCGGAAAAGAGGCATCACAGCATTGACAACCTTTTCCTTCCTTCACTCGTACAGGCCAAAGTTAATCTACCCGATATGGACACGATGTGTTCCTTAACTTCTACACCCGTTTCAGTCAGTGCTACAAGGAGGACGGTACATCCAAGAACCCAGACTGCCCAGTCTGCAGTAAATCCCTCAACAAGCTGGCCCAGCCGCTACCTATGGCCCACTGTGCTAACTCCAGACTAGTGTGTAAGATCTCTGGGGAGGTCATGAACGAAAACAACCCTCCCATGATGCTTCCTAATGGATATGTCTATGGATACAATGTAAGTACATAATACGGCTGGACAGTGAGTGCTCTCATTACCTCATGAACGAGTGCTTCATTATTAGCAAATGACAAAAAACCCACTGTGAACAGAGCTCCACGTTGAAATCTGTCCACGAGTCTTTAGTTACAGCCACTTTGAGGACACTTTTCAGATCAGCCCCGCTCTCTCCTCAAACACCTTTCCACTCTCACAGCTCACGCTCGCTGTGATGGTGACTTGTCCTCCAGCTCGACAAACGCCTAACAGGGCGAGTAAATGATGTGATGTGAGAGTGCCTGTTCGTGTCCGCGGGTTTCTCCTCGTGCTTTAAGTATCCAACTAGTATTTCAGTGATATTTAATGTAATGCCACTATTTTTGCACTTTAATCGCCAAATTTTTATTTAATTTTGTATTTTTCCAAAGTACCTGCAGACATCATTTTTCTGCTCACAGCTGACATGGTGCATGTTGCTCTTTGCATCATGACTTCTTTGTAACTGTGTTTTCAAAAGGTGCTGTAGTCAAGACCAAACTAACCGAGACAAGACCAAGACCATTAATATCTCTGAAAAATCATCATCTTGTGTGTCACTTACTTACACCGTAACACCGGGAAGGTTGCGGCCGTTGAAGTTATTTGTTATTTTAGAAAAAGGAAGATTTCCTTCTAATCACAGTGATGACTTGGAACAATAGCCGATCAGTGGTGGTCTTGGCTGATCTTGGGTTAATTTCCAGAGTCCGCCCAGTCTGAGACTGAGACCTTCAAAGTGTTCTGGAAACCAAGACTTATTTTGAGCACTTCATCACTAGTTGCTATACAAAAAACATATTTTATTATTCTTACGTGATGGTACCTGAGTTGGCCTTAAGCTTTAATTAACACGTGTGTGGCTACTGAAACGTTGCTCGACTAAAGACGTTGACAACGAGTACTCGAGTAATGGTATCCATCTCTAGATCATAACACGTTTTATCACGGCCAAGAGGAAATAAAAAGTCAAATAAAACAGTTTTTCTTTGACTTAATTCTTCTCTGTTCCTCTCTTTCAGTCCCTTCTGTCCATCCGCCAAGATGACAAAGTGGTTTGTCCCAGAACCAAAGAAGTCTTCAGCTTCTCTCAGGCTGAGAAGGTCTACATCATGTGATCACTCAGATCCCCCCGTCTGATCATTAACATGATTGAAAACGGCCGTCATTCATCATCTGTGACCCGGCCGACTCAAAGAGAGAGCCACCCGTGGAGCTGTGATCCAGTGCCCCCCCCCCCCGCCTCCCCATCACAGACACACCCAACGTATCACACAACCCCCTCCTCTCAATTCATGATGGACGACGGCTCATCACCCTCCCATGTGTGATCACACAGAAACTGGACGACTCTCCTTTTAGACTGTTTTAGATGTGGCTAGATAACGAGGAGTCGTTCCTTTCAAGCACACGGACGATCGACGTGATTATCTTTCTGTCTCTCGCTCCACAAGCGGGCCGAGACAGATGATAGGTAGAGATTTGATTTCACTACAACAAATAAAAAATTGTTGAGGTTACGTTGAGCTTTTCCTTCTACTAGTGGTATTTTCTTTTGTGGCAGGACGGCGTTGTGTCGCTTCATTAACCAGATTAACATGTGACCCTTTTTCAGACAAACATGGCTGACCTCCCAGTCTTTAAGTAGCATCTCATTCTGTGATGCATGCTGTTCACATCTCGTCTTCTGGCCATGTTGTTTTTGTGGGCTTATGTTCAGGGAATGCGATAAACGCGACTTTTTAACTCCCTTTTTGGCATTTCCCCGTCTTCGGCTGTGAAACCGGAGCCCGGTTTGGACCGCAGTGGGCTCCTTCTCAAGTGTAAATATTAGTTAGGAAGTGATCATCCTCGTGTGTAAGATTCAGGGTTTCTGGAAAAGTTGACGACGTTAAATCGCAAAGAAAGTGTGAAGCGAGTCTTTTCTTGTCACCTGATTTAGTCCACAGTCTCCTCTGGTTAACTTCTGAGGACGCTGTTAGTTTCAAACAAACTTTCACTCATTATGGGGTCAAAACTACCGTAATGACATGTAGGGCAATACTCACACTAAACCATATTTGATGTTTTTTATGATTAAACCAACTGTCTTCCTTTTGTGTTTGAGGTTTACTGATTTCAGTTCTTGTCAGCGTTTTCCTCCTTTAACTCTTCAGTGAGAATGGAACATTTCAGTGAACGTGTTCTGGTTTTTAGGATTGACGTCGCCCCGGGTAATTTCTGCTAATGTACAATGCCTGGATATTTTTTTTTCTCTCCGTCTCACATTCTGCTAAAGCTCCTCATGGCACTGAGACTCCAAAGGGTTTGCACTGCATTAAACCACTAAGACGGCTTTAACACAGAATACAACATGCATTAAGGGGCGGCACATTGATACGGACTTTTCATGCAGACTTTTATAGAAATCTTTGGTCATGCAAAAAAATAAACACACAATTCGCCCTCTTTGGCTGAGAACCTGACGTGGACGACGTATGGACTGGGAACGTGGAGAGAAAACGACATGTCCAAGGTTGACTTCAGTGAAAGCTAACGCACAATAACTGCCCAATTGTAAAACATTTGATCCCCGACACGCACCGGTCAACATCTTCCATTTCTTCCATTTTCTTCTGTTCATTGACAAACCAAAAGTTGCCTCATTTGTGTCCATCAGTGAGTTGGAAGTGTAACTGTAAAGACACAGACTGTCCTGTGTGTTCTTGTTGGTAGACTAGATAAAGGGAATGTTTCATGAGAGGACAGAAAAAAATGTCTCATAAAGATTTCGGTGAACTTTGCTCTCAGCGTTTCTTTACTTTCAATGTGTGCTGAGCTCTGTGGTGTCTGCAGTCAACATTACCATCAACTGTGTGTGAGTGTGTGTGTGGGGGGGTTAACGCGGTTAACGATGCACTGCGGTGTCTGTTCACATGGAAATACAACCAAGTGTTGGGTCTTTCACCTGAAACTACACCTCCATTGTTTGAAGAGGTCAGCATTCTTTTAAGAGCGTCCCAAACTCTTTTCGTTGGAGCCCCCCCCGCTTGTTTCTAAGGAATCTGTGGACCCCCCAAGGGACCCAGTTTAAGAACAAAAAAAGAAATGTGGCAGACAAATCAACATATATCTGAATGTTTTCATTGATTAAAAAAAGGTTCTCACCTAAAGACCTTAGTATAAACTATCCAGTGTTCAATCATGATCTAAGTTTATCAGTGCAAATGGGATTCCCCTCCTGAGATCTCTACATGACATATATATATACACCATACTGCACATTACTTATCTCAACATGTGGATTTCATTTATATGCATGGGGGAAAAAAATATGACACAACAGGGGCGAAACAGATTTCTCCTTTAAGACTGAAGAAGAATCGGAAAATAGAAGTGCAAGTTCAGCTGAACGACTGACTCTTAAATTCAAAATCTGTAATTAAAAAATATCCTTAATGATGTCATGAGTTTGCAAACATAGATTGTCTATACAACCTCAAGATTTTCCTCCTTTTCAAGGGCTTCAACTTGATGTTTTTACCTGTCTCTAAAGCATCGAAACATGTTGAAAATACTATTTTCTTGTTTTCTTAGGGCCCAGTGGTGTTACGTCATAAACTGTCCCCATCCCCCCTCCCAAAGCCTGAAAGTCAAAATAATGTAATCACAGATATATGAACGGAAAAACATTATTGTTTAGCTCTTGAATCAGTGAATGAAAGACGCGTTGTTTCAAAACCAACAGAAGTGGTGGTATATCAATGTTTTTATATTTGTTGCATTTCGACCCAAACTATTCAGTTTTAGTCCTAAACATATTCAAACATTTTACAGTCCACTATAATATCATTGTTCTCAACCTCTTCCACAATATAACCCCACCTTAAATGAACTGGGGATCTTATAAGACCTACAGGTAATCCTATTTCCCCTGATTGTTGGTTGGGACTGTGCTTTGTACCCACGCTGTCCCCATCCCCCGACCTCGACTTAGAGCCTTTTAATCACTCGACTTCAGAGCTCTAAATCGGCACAAATACCGAAAGAAAGTCAATAATTCTGCCATTCAAAAGTGATCTTTTCAGGTTTTTTGTATGGTGCAATCTGTATAAATATCAGATTAACTATTCTCACCATGCTTTTAATACCACGTGACGTAACACGAACACTAAGCAACAATATTTCGTTGTGATTTAGAAAATGCAATATATATTTGTTTCACATGTCGTATTTTCTCAAGTTTAAAACGTTCGTTTTCAACATTTATAGCAGAAAATCGTGTCCTTTGTTAGTAAGGAAAAAAAAGCCCCAAGCCGGTGTTATGTCGGGATGTGCTACCTTGTCGAAAAATGCCACCATAGCGCAAAACGGTAGCAGAAGCTATGCGTATCCCGTAACTTATAATGCTAACAGAACAAAATACCTTTATTTTTCCCTTCTAACTTTATATACATTGTTAGATTATGGGGAGCAAGTTTTTATGTACTTTATTATTAGAAATGTCAGTGGAAGTGTATCCATAATCTCCAGACAAATAGTGCAGAATCACTGTAATAAAAAAAAATCACTACTCGCTGCATCAGCACATCAAGGAAACGGGGCGCATGTTTTAAAACTCTACAACAAAAATCTTAATTTCACATTTCAGAGGAAGTATCTCTCGATGGGACGAAACGGAGCCTCGTGGTAGCACAGTTCGATGGGTAGCAGTATTCGACACAACACCGGAAGAGGCGTAACTGCATGCTAAGCTGTGTGTGACGTCACCGCGCGGCCGCTATAAAGAAAACTGCGTTCTTCCAAGTCCGCCATCTTAAGCTTCGTGTGCACGCTGCTAGTCGCTACGAACGTCTTCAACAGTCTTTTACGACAATGAGTGATCAGCTTTGCAAACTTTTCGTCGGCGGGCTCAACGTGGACACCGACGACGATGGCCTGCGGAAGCACTTCGAGCAGTTCGGCACGCTGACCGACTGCGTGGTCGTGGTGAACAAGCAGCTGCAGCGGTCCCGTTGTTTCGGCTTCGTCACGTACTCCTCGCCGGAGGAGGCCGACGCCGCGATGGGCGCCAGGCCGCACACGGTCGACGGCAGCGACGTCGAGGTGAAGCGGGCCGTCGCCAGAGAAGACGCCAACAAACCGGAGGCCCTCGCCAAGGTGAAGAAGATCTTCGTCGGCGGCTTAAAGGACGACATCGAGGAGTACCACCTGAACGAGTACTTCTCCCAGTACGGAGAGATCGAGAAGGCCGAAGTGATCTCGGAGAAGGAGACCGGGAAGAAGAGGGGCTTCGGCTTTGTCTACTTCACCGATCACGACGCCGCCCGACAAAGCCGTCGTGGTGAAGTTTCACACCGTGAACGGACACAAAGTGGAGGTGAAGAAAGCCCTCACCAAGCAGGAGATGCAGGCGGCCAACAGAAGCGGGATGCCCCCCAGAGGAGGCCGGGGCCGAGGCATGAGGGGGAATCAAAATGGCTACGGCGGCGGCAGGGACTACAGCGGGAACTACAACTACGGAAATGGCGGAGGCTATGGGAACGGTGGCGGCGGATGTGGTTACGGAGGTTATGGCGGACCGTACGGGGGTGGCTACGGAGACCAGAGCGGTGGTTACGGTGGTGGAAACGGCTACAACGAGTTCGGCAGCAGCTACGCCCAGCACAACTCTGGTTACGGCCCGATGAAGGGGCCGCCATTCGGGGGTCAGAGGAGCGCTGCTCCCTACAACAGAGGCGGTGCAGGCGGATACCCGAGGGGAGGCTACGGCGGCGGCGGCTACTAGATAAGACTGAGGAAGAAATAAAACAACCTACACCAGCCCCCCCCCCTCATCTCCCCCCCTGCCATAGGTTACCTCCAACCAGGATTTGGACGCCAAACTCAAATTGAATAACGGGGCGTCTGCCGTGAACTCCAGATACGGTCACAGAGACCGCCCCCTCTCAAAAGCCCGAACAGGTAGGAAGGTCACTTCCCAGAAAGCCTGATAAATAACGAGCAGCTGTTGTTCCCAAAATCAACTAGGACATGTTATGAAGAATAAACCTCTTCCTTTATTATGTAGTTGTCGTTTATAGAGTTGACTATTTTTTATTTGCGTTCATATTTGCTGACAAGTATCCCTAATATTTGTACTTTTTTAATTAGTTTTGTTTTTTTCTGGTATTATAAACTTTAGGTGTGTTTTCATTGTATGAGGATGAGAAAGCATGTTTTGTGGTTTTCATTACTTTAAAAAAAAAAAATTGTAATTATTTTTTTACCTGGATCATTCAACAAAAAGGCGGGAACCGTGACACTGCAGGATCCAGTTTCCTTGTTTCCTTACCCCCTCAAACCTTGTTCTCAAACCTTACGCGTAGTTATAGTTTCAACCTTAAATATTGTTCATTTTTCATTACTTGTAGCAGGTATCCAATGTATATTGTATACTTTCATGTCTGGAGAACAAAACCTACTGTCAAACTACTTTTTGGTATGCTTATGTATGTTCATTTTAAATAAAACGTTATACCACTTAGCTTAGTTATTTTACTTATTTAACCAGGCTTCCTCAAGTTCGTCCACAGGTTTTTTAAAAGTGCCATCATCTTGACCTTTAGTTCATCCCACAGTTTATCCCTTACTCTCAGGTGGGTGATATGAATGGTTGTAGTCTACCCACAGCCAATGCATGTAGGCTTTGTAGGGTTTGACCATGTTTTATTCAACTTACCTTTGCTAATTAACCACTTTACATCTTTAATTCTTTACATATTGAATACGTATCTATGTGGACTGGAGGGCTCTGTTATTTACCTTTGATTATTCCTACATTTAGGTGTTCTTACTCGTATTCCTGTAGGCTATCCCAGCCAATATAGCCGTAGCAGTTTGTTTGTAGGCTACATCAAGACCCTGTTGATTACCTGGGGTCGATTGTCATAGGAGTCTGAAATATCTCTTTAGGATATCCACATCCAGCAACCTAGGTATGTAAATCAACCTGTCTTCACTCTGTGTTGGTCAACTATGTATGGTAAACCTCATGGCGATGGTGCACACGTGTGCCATTATTTTACCTTTAATCAACTTATCTGACGCCTTAATCATAGCTCAATGCGCCTTTATATAGCTAATATTAAAATAACCAAAAACGGGGGAGGGGTTACTGAATTTGACCTTTAATTTACTCTTAAAGTGGGTCGCCGGGGACCCACATTTTGCTCCACAATTAACTGAAACTATTACAACTGGAACAATTACATTGGTGTCTCTTCCTGTGACCCTTACTCTGTACAGCGTACTCACTCTCTTTCTCTCCCGTCTCCTCCAGGGTGCAATGGGTAACCTGGGCAACGAGGACATCACCCTACAAATGATGGGGTGTGTTGTCTCCACACTGGCGGGGGTTTACCGGAGAGCGGTGGTGCCTTCTCCCCCTCAGGTGAAGTCAAGTTTTCACAAAACAAACGGTTCCCAAAGTGTGGTGCTTTTTAAATGGGTCTAAACATGGTTTTTCTGAAATGTTTGCAGGGTGAGTTTTGATGACACAGTGCCCAAGTGCAAGTCGGATAATTACTGATACTTCAGGGGAATTAAGCATGGAGGACAGTGGTTCAAATGTTTACCATGGGAGCCCTTAAAAGTGAAGCTTTTAATCCCTCATCACAGGTTTTCTCTTGGTGTTGATCTCTGCTGTGGAAAACTTAAAATCATGTTCAGCTTAACGTTATTCTTTCTTCTTTTTAATCATTGCTTTACTTCCTGAACCCTTTAGAGTACTGACCCAGAGGATGGGAGCAGTGTTTGCACTTTG